CCCCAAAACCCCAAAACCCCAAAACCCCAAAACCCCAAATATTCCAAATAAAGTTGAATTTTTAGATAACTATTGTCGCCAACTGCCAATGACTAATTAGCAATTCTCTTTAGCCCGTTATTTCTCTCACGATTCATAAATCTCAGTGATAACTTCAGTGAAATATTGAGATATTATCATCTCCATCTCCACTACCCATACAAAGGTAGAGTACCTTTCTCAATTTGTAAAAATAGACTAAAATTTAGTGAAATTTTAACGAAACAAGAGAGATCCCATTTAGCCAGTGAATTTGAACTATCTCTACACAATTTTAGTAAAAAGTAGGAACTTTAAACTCAAGTACTCGCTTGCCTAACCCAATAGGAGCGCCTTTGGGCACAGAGCTGTATTTGATATCAGCCTCTGATTTCACATTTGGGATACTGAAGTTGTCAACGAAGCTTTTTGAGTTATCTGAGTCTGTAAATTAGGTTATGAAGAGATTAACAAGGAGAGACGAAATATTTTCAACAGTTTGTGGTTTTAAGAGCCAGGTTGTAGGGATTTGGCTAGGATCCTAGTAAAAGCTGGCATCAATGGTAACTCAAGGGAAAGTGTTCTTTGGAAATTTCAGATTTTATATTTGTGGATTTTTACCTTTATCATCTATCTTCTTTAGGTTGTCAAGTCCTCTATCTTGGGAAGTAAACATAGCATGGTAAACTCGTCTCACTTTAGAAGCCTTGAGTGCTGGAAGAGGGTTGTATTTATCAGGCGAAACAGAGGTATTTCCCTTCAAAAATCTCTCTTTCTCCGGAAAATAAGTCTTATCCTCAAACCTCGAATGCGACTTAGAGTCCCTAACCAGCCTATTCTTCCTAAATTTATGCAAAATATTCAACTTCGTCTTCTTATTTATCGAATTGTGGTCCTGTAAGTTATACCCTTCCAGCACAAAATCCCGAACAAAACATTATTTAAGATTTTCTTCTAGAAGCCAGGCCCAGTATGTAGCAGGAGATGTGGAAGAGGCAAGATGGGCTTTTTGGGCTAACTCACGCTCGATGAACCGGTTTTGCTTTGGAAAAGTTGAAATTGAGTAATTTTGAGGCCGTTTTTCTCTAAAATTTTGGTCCTTTAGGTAGGAAATTGGTAAGTTGGAAGATAGATCAGTACGGTGTTTTGGTTCTTGGAATTTAATGCTCTTAGAAACAGAGTATTCTGGCCCTGATGGTGAATTAATAATGTTGTAAGTGCCCACATCTGGAGAATGCTTTCCAAAGTTCTCCAATACACAGAGTTCATTATCATATGTTTTTATTTCCTTAATTTGTCTTAGAAATACTAAAAACTGGCTTATTACGCTTTGTAGAATTAAACGTAGGCCTGCCAATAAGAGGTGGAAAAGCGATATCTAAAAATCAATGACCTCTCTTACCTTGCAACTTAGAAATCTTATTCTGCTTAAAATACGTCTGAACCTCTTCAGAACGTTCAGAAAACGACAGATTTGTGTCCTCCATTCTACTCCTCTGTATCTTCTTCAAAGTATTCCCTAAAGCAACACATTATCCTACTACTTTCAAAACTCCGTAAACGCTCTTAAAACTTCCAAATCTCCCTAAAATCCCTACTTCTTGCCGAATTCTGTTTGGTGTTCATTTTCCTCGCAAAGCTCATTTATAAAAATAAATTCAATAATTGAAATAAAACTGGGGTTTTGGGGTTTTGGGGTTTTGGGGTTTTGGGG